GAGCCTTGATGGCACAATAGCAACAATAGGCAATGGCAATATGCCAATACAGTGATAAATATAACAGTTATATTGAATGAATACATATTTCAAAACTGCCAGCCAAAAGAGCCATTTATCAATTTATCAGTTTTATCTTGTCCTTCCAAACTATATTTTCAAGTTGAGTTTGAAGATTATACGACAGCAAGAATAAGTCAATAGTATTGGAAACGACAACAAATAAAAATTGCAAATGAAAGCAACATAAAACATTGTAGTGAGGAGATTGCATTGTACATGCACAATAAATCATTAGGCCTCATAACTCTAGCACAACCACATTCAACCCACCAGCTGCAACAGGCCTGCATGTAACTGTACTAGTGACAAGCCATGAAGGTTTCACTATATCAAAGGAAGACACAGATGTTGACAGAAAATTAGAAGAGTTGGCTTTTTAGTAACCACAGCAAAAGACATGTCTGTGAAAAAAAATCTGTTTAGGAAAAAAAACACCATCAATTCAGCAAAACAGCGTGTCTGTTTTGGTTGTGATACTACAATGAGTTAAATGTATATTCACCGCTTCTCACTCCCAGATAATGTCACTCATTTATAACATGTCTCATACCAATTCTTTCATCTTTGTTCTTATGGGGGATGGGATCTATCAAAGAGGAAAAGATGGAACAACAGCACAATGTATTCCAGCTGTTTGCAATAGGAACCCTAAGTCTGGAAGCTCTCCTAGCATCCTGGGCAAAGAATTTACTGTGAAATGTACAAATCTATCCTGTTTAAAAAGGTATGAATTCTTTTTCAATTTTCTCTGGTACTCCTTCTGGAAGGCAGCATTTAGGGTCAGCAGGGGACGTAGGACTATATCGCCAACTAAGCTAGCAGCTGTTAATACTGTTCTGTGGTTCAGAATATAGAAGTGGAATGAATGAAGGGAAGGATGAAGTACCCCTCAAAGACTTTGAGCTTCATATTGCCCTCCTTTGTGGGGGGGGCTGCTATAAAGAGTTTTAAAAAACCCATTCATTCATCCATCCATCCATCCATCCATCCATCCATCCATCCATCCTTTGCCACGTTTCCTCCCATAGGGGACCCAAGGCAGCTCACAACAGATAAAACAACAAATTAAAAAACATTATATAAACATCGCATCATATAAGCATACATGAGGATTTTAAAAAATCAAGCATAAAAACATTTCATGTAAAATTTCATGTGAAATAATACATCTGTTTCCCAGAACAGTAAAGATAAACCTCAGGCTGTGTACCCAGCCCTTTCTTGGGACTAAGCCAACTGATCTTGTAGTGCAGAAAACGGCATAGGATTGGCTGCATAGCTCACTGAAGTGCCTGCCCATTGTCTACCCAATTGGTGATATTTATTCCAAGGATCAGGCACTGTATTTCCCATTTCATTCTGGCTCAAGCGTTATATGCTCAAAACTCCACATCAAGCTCCGAGGGCAATTCAGACTCACTGGAGTGTGAATGCATTTGAATTTCCATCCAGAGAGCTACTCTTTCCAAAGCACTTGAATAGCCTATTCGTCTTCAACAGGTTTACTTCTTTAACACTTACTCCTTTAAGAGTGATTGAGAATCGCTAGCTCTCTTAAGTGCTATAAATACAGAATGGGGAGATTCTGTGGCTGCATGAAATTTTAATTGGCTCTCCTTTGACACAAACTATTTGTTACAACACAACTTGGAATGTACTTACAATGGACTCCATCACCCTCCTTTATAAAGAGCTGAATTCCTTCACTTTGTTTCAGGATGAGCAATGGTTTACTCAGATAACACATATACCATTTCTGTCGGACCATTCAGAGAGCCAAGTATTATTCAACATTAAAGGGGGAGTGTGACAGTCACATATATTATGCAGGGTTGGAGGGAATAGTTTCATTTGGCAGATTTACTGTTGAATGTGGGATCCTTTTAAAGTGTTCCAGTAGAATGCACACATTCTCAAGAGTCCTCTTCCACGAATCCATGTGGAATGAAAACCATAACAAATTTATAATGAATTTTCCCACCTATGATATTCATGGAAAGTTCTGTTCTTGCAATAAGGTACGTACTACTCAATACTTGGCAGATTGCACCATCTTTGCGAAAATGTCCAGCAGAAGCCAATGGGGCTTAACTCTGCCTTAACATGTAGGATGGTACAGCCAGTAACTTAAATGTGAATAAGCTGTCACTTTCTCCTTTCTCTCCTCCTTCTCCTCCTCTTCCTTACAGTAATAACCACTGATATTAACATTATTAATGTTAGCGAAATTAATCCACATTAGGCGCAAAAATGCTTTTGTCTACAGCTTTGGATGATACACATTTGAGCAGCAAAGATTTCTCACTTTTAAATATATAAAACCAAGCAACTATTTGCCTCCTTCCTGAATGATACTGTTGGAAGAAAACTTTGGGTAAACAGGAGTGGATTTTTGCATGGGTAAAATGTGGATCCACTCACCTCACATAATCAAAACAAACAGCTATAATTCTTCAGTCTTTTTCACCATTCAGTGGACAGTGGATCTACAGATTCTGGGATTAAACCAAAGTCAATACCACAGACTTGAAGCCTGTCCCTCAAGGACGGCTTGTGACAGGAGCTGGGGAACATCCCACCCTCTCAGCCGTTGGGATGAGGTGCCTTTGGTCAGTCTATGAGAGAGTGAGAATCTATTGGTAACTTCTGGAGGTTGTAAATGTTTCCAGAGCAATTTAGAGTTCTCTGCCTAAGCAGCAGATTATCTGGTTGGGTTTTGTGCTTCTGTCATTGTCTGTCCTACCCAAAACTTGTGCTTATGACCGGACTCTGCATGCTGTCTTTGTTGTGATGTAAAAAGCCATGCTGTCCTCTCTTTATGCTGCATCCCTGCTTCTTCATCAAGAACTAGCTACTTCTTCAGCAGCAGATCTTACCTTATTCTCAGTGATCCACTCCTGTTGATAAGATACCCTCTGAATTTGGCTTGTTTGGGGTCTGTTCCAAGGAGAGCTTGTAACTACAGTTAGCATTACTCCTTTCCACTCCACCCCCCTTCAGTAATGGTTCTTGTAATGTTAAGGTCCAAATGTAATTCTCTGTTATTTTCTGCCTTTTGCCACTTGCCATCCACACTGGACTCTTGTCTGCTCCCTCTCCCTCCAATACACATTTGCCTTCCCTAGCTAGAGTGCATATTCATTCATTCATTCATTCATTCATTCATTCATTCATTCATTCATTCATTCATTCATCCATCCATTCGTTTGTTTGTTTGTTTGTTTGTTTATATCCCGCCTATCTGGTCAAACGACAATGTCCTAAGTGGCACTGGAGTGATGCAGTATCTTTTTAAACATGGTAACAGTGGTTTATTGCTAAACTGTAACGTTTCTGAAACCCATATGGATATGAAGATCTTATATAACGGGTGCAAAACGTTGAGAAGGCTATGATAGCTGCCAGATGTTATTCCTTCTCTGAACTGCCACACAGCATCATAGTGTCTTGAATATCACTGCAATGATGGAGTATTTTAACAAGTGACAACAGTGATGATGTAGGGCTAAATAGCAGTACTGTAGTAAGATATATGGAAATGAAGACCTTGCATCACCAAGCAAAATCGTAGCTGAGGAAAAGGCTGTAGTAGCTGTGAAATGTTTTGGCAGGGCTTCCTTACTTGGGTTTGGGAAGGCATATTAGTTATTATTTACATTTGTATTTACCCTTTCTCCAATGAACCAAAAGCCAAGGTATTCTTATTTGTCAATGTGTCCTGCACTTTCCTTTTAGATCTTCAACTGCATTTCTTGGACTTTTTCCCCCTGATGAATTTAGTTTTCTTGACATTCATTTTCAGGCAGTGTTCGCTACTTACCTACTTGTTGCATAAGTTGAGATCTCAACCCTTCCTTCCATCTGACGACAGTGAGGTGACACTTGCACAGGCATTACTACACTGGTGGGACTTTCACCCAGTTGGAAGCTCAACAAGATACTGGCCATGGACGCTACTGAATCACCTTTTCAGACCATTTGAACTGTCAGCTAATAAATCAGTATTGCCTGCATATTATTGCTATTGATAACGTATCCATTGACTGTGGAGTATATATCCTTTTTGGACTGTTTCAGAGGAACAGTGGGGAATTTGGAGGATCTCCCTCATCCAACCCATTGTACAATGGTTGATGCGACCAGCACAGCTATGTGGTATGATATCACCATGAAGGGGGACAGAAACGTATTCGGCATCAGTCTAAGTGTCCTGCCTCAGTCCTGAGTTCAAGACTGGCTTGCCTTCTTCACAGAGTGCACCGCAAAGGCAGCTGACCAATTTTTAAAAAATCATTGCAAAACACGGAAACAACAGCAGCTTAAATAGCAGAAAACTGCAGCAACAGAGCAGGAAAAGATGAAAAAAATGAATGAAATATTATTTTATTCCTTAGCTAAATGAATGAGTGAATGCCTAGGTCCTTTCCTCGGCCCTGGTGATAAAAGAATAGCAGATTCAGTGCCAAGCATATACCTCTAAGAAGAATGTTCAACAAACAGAGCCACTACTGGAGAAACCTTCCCCCAGCCGGTGTGCATCTCACGGTACAAGGGCAGAGCACCCCATGTCACCCCTTCGGGCAAAGGAACAAGCACCTGGTCCTCGAGGTACGGGAAAGATGCTAAAGCTGGATCCTTTGCCATCTTGTTGGAGAGAACTACAATGATTCCACCAGTTGCCTCCTTTGTGGAAACATGCCTAAGATCACACAGCAATAGAACTGACATAGGCATGACAGGCACAGACAAGGCAGGTCTACTAGCATCATGGGTTTTGCTCCTTGGACAGAAGGAGGCCATTTCCGGGGTGACGTATGCCTAATCTCATATCAGTTGCCAGCCTTTCAAGACAACTTTATGGGACACTGCTTCCCACAAAGACAATACAGAAGGACAGATATATTTGTACATTGCCATACATATATATATATATTTACCCTGCATTTCCTGTGATCGCAGTGGACAAGAGGACGGGTGATTTGCAATTGCCTCCGACTGGCTGAGATACTGCAACCCTTTTGTTTGCTCTGAATTCTTCAGAAGAACCAGGGGAGCTGCCGTGTCAGCCGAGTTCTTTTGAAAAAGAAAAATCAGAAACACAGTTTTGTGTGTGGGAGGAGAGAAATTATCTGTTTTTCTGTTCTATTAAGACAAACCCCCACCACCACCACCATGTATGGCTTTCTAAGAATCAACACCTTCTGGACAGCCTCGGGCCTATATTCAGTGTTAGAACAAAACAACCTGCTCTAGTTTGTGGCTCTCCGTCTGTGTTCGCCTGCTGTTCCCTTCTTCCCTTGGTCACCCTGGTTGGGGATGATGGGGGTTGTGGTCAAACACTTTTGCAGACGGCTGGGCCAGAGAAATCTGGATCAGAACACTTTCACCCAGTCAGTTTGTTTCTACCGTGTTTACCCGAAAATAAGATAGGGTCTTATATTAATTTTTGCTCCCAAAAAAACCCGCATTAGGGCTTATTTTCAGGGGATGCTTTATTTTTTTCATGTACAACCATCTAAATTTATTCAAATGAAGTAATGTCATCTTCTTCTGGTTTCTGCACAAGGGTGGAGAGTGGCTGGGGCTTATTTTTGGGGTAGGGCTTATATTACGAGCATCCTGAAAAATCCTACTAGGGCTTATTTTCAGGTTGGGTCTCATTTTCGGGGAAAAAGGTACAATGTCCAGCGGAGCTCTTCCACCTCTGAGTGCAAAGCGTCCTTCTTTGACTGGATGGGGGTGGGAGGGGTTTCTTGTAGTTGTGCCCCAGGATCACAACCATTAGTTTGTTTCTTTGCAGCCACCTGTTCTCTTCTCCGCCCCCCCCCCCAGAGAGGCAGCTAGCAATAATGGCACCCTCTGTATGCTGATTTCCCTCTCAAAGTTAATTTGTATCTTTAGAAGGGAGGGGGGGAGCTATAGGAAGGTATTAATCTGCTTAACATTTCTAAGTACATCATCCAAGGGATTTTGTTTTTTTAATCTTACATATGCTCAGCAGAGTTACTGGCAAAAACTGTACATTTTCTTCATTTCATCCTTTCAACATCAAATGGTAAGCAGCAAAAATTGGATCAGACTTCAAAGACTGCGCTGTGCTCCCAGTCACAGAGCGACTCCTCCATTTCACATATTGAATTCGAGCAGGATATCAAAGTGCTACCAAAGAACCTCAGGTCCTTGCGGGGAGGGGGGGGAGAGGCTCTAACATCTGTAGAAAGTGAAGTGCACAGACAAATCACCTCAGGGAGCAGCTCACATTTATACTCAGCAGTAGATTTCCAGCCTTTTGATTCTCCCATTCACTGTACCTCCCTGTCTTTCTACAGAACTAAAGTTCTTAGTGAGCAGGCTTTTGTCTCAAAGACTTCAAAACACCACTAACAGTTTCATGTTCTGATGGTTATGCCAAGCAACCGTGAACACACTTCAGAACTGTGGATTCAGGGATTTTCTGTCATTTTACAGTCTGAACTTCACAGTACCTTGCTTGTTTGTTTGTCAAGAAAATCCAGCTCTGCAGGAGAAGTCGGACTGCTACTTTTCTGCCTAAAAAAGAAAAACCACAGAGAGAGAGAGAGAGAGAGAGAGAGAGAGAAATACACAAATAAGTTCCTGTTGTTATGGTCAAGACAAAAGAGAAAACTGCATGCTTTTCCTCATTTGCTGTTGTGTGTTTTTTTAAATTAAGCACATTATTCTTACAATGATTGTGCATGGAATGTACTGCATGAAAAAGAAAATAACAATAAAATATCTGTTACTTTTAAATCATTGGCTGAGATCAAAGAAGAGAATCTGGCATTTAGACAGAGTTATGTTTGTTTCCTTGTTGTTTCACTGCCTGCTGAAGAAGCAAGCCATTTTTGAAATGTAATGTCATATGCAGCTTGCCTCTTCAGCAGACATCTGCTGGCCTTAAACAACAAAGAAAGCTTCTACTGTGCTTGCTTTCAGCCCCACACACTTTTTGTACTCTTCAACATGTAATTTCAGGACCTTTTGTTGTACGGTAAATATTGTTATCCCTCTCAACCTTGCAGTGATTTGGGGAATTCCAGGGAAATCGCTATGTTTCCCCTGCCTCTTTGGCTGAGAAACCACTTTAAAAGCAACAGTTATATATTGCAAATGCAATATACATTGCCTTTAGAGACCATGTAAAACTTATTGTATAATATGTGAGCTTTCATGGATCAAAGCGCCACTTCATCAGGGTGTACCAGTGTGAAGACTTAAAATCCAAAAGTTCATGGCAAGATGGATTTTGCTAGGTACCTCTTTCTTAGATGGAAGTCAGGAGAGGTGCAGGAACCAGTAATTGCTGTTTTAGGGTTACAGCTGAGGTATCTGTGGATTGGATTCATGCCCTAGCTTCCCATAAACATTCTAGAGATGGGGAATCATTTTCTGTTTTTCAGTGTACAAAACAAGTCTTGCAGTGATCACAGCCATGCAGGGTACAGTTTGCTGCCTCTGTGGCCAAAACTACTACACCATGGGGGGTGGGTGGGGGAAACAGAAATACATGTGCACCTGCCCCAGTAGGTTGAAAGTGAATGCTGACACATCATGAGAGATAACCACTAATTCACTGCACTAAGCTGCTAATATTTTTGGCAGTAGCTTTCTTAAGCATTAGACCAGTGGTTCCCAACCTTTTCTGAAATCCCGAGCCCACTTTTATAATCACAGAATCATAGAAAAGTGAAGTTGGAAGGGGCCTACAAGGCCATCAAGTCCAACCCCCTGCTCAATGCAGGAATACAAATCAAAGCATATCTGCCAGGTGATTATTTAAGTTTTTCTTGAATGCCTCCAAGTGTTGGAGCACTCACCAACTCCCGAGGTAACTAGTTCCACTGTCATAATAGTCAAGTAACCTGCAGCCCCCTGCCATGATCACATAAAAATGTATTTTTAATAACGTAAAGTCATCCCTTCTCAGAAAGTAGAGGCTTCTTTCTCTCCCAAAGGGCCTGTTTCTCATACATACACATATACACTAACTTTACTATCCTGCTCAGAAAGGTCAAGGAAGAAATTATTTGACACGGGCTACAACACATATAAAGTGGCCCATGACCCCCCTCCAGAAAACACTTTGAAACCCCCATGGGGGTCATAACCCCCAGGCTGGGAAACACTGCTTTAAGTCAACCCTGTTGCCTCTTGTTACTAAAAACAAAAATCAAAACAAAAAGGAGGAAATGACAAAAGAAATGAGTAATGAATGATTACACTAACATTAACATTTTACTTCCAAGCTTGGATGTACAGTACAGTATATCACAGAAGTGAGTACACCCCCTTACATTTCATAAATATTTTAGTATATATTTTCATGTGACTATACTGAAGAAATGACACTTGGCTACAATGTAAAGCAGTGAGTATACAGCTCATATAACAGTGTAAATGTGCTGTCCCCTCAAAATAATGCAACACACAGCCATTAATGTCTAAACTGCAGGCAACAAAAGTTTATAACATTTACACTGTTATACAAGCTCATTGCTTTACATTGTAGCCAAGTGTCATTTCTTCAGTGTTGTCACATGAAAAGATACACAGTATTAAAATACTGTATTTATGAAATATGAGGGGGTGTACTCCTGTGATATACTGTATGTACAAGAAATAGAGAGAGATTATGAAGATCAGATGAACATCAATGCTTAATTTCCTAAAAACGTATTTCCATCTTGTTCAGAAAAGCTACCAGAAAGGCATCCATTCTACTCCTAATATATAAGCACACTTTGTGGTTATTCATATACAACGGAAATACAATCTTAAGTGCTTCAGGGACATTTTATCCTCTGTTTCTTCATATAGGTGCTGGGGCTGAACACTGCCACAAATTTTGTTCCAGTAGACATCAAACAAAAGGTAGCACATAACGAGAACATGAATCATCATTCCTCAAACTTTGAGATTAAGGTCAAAGGCAGGAAACCATAGACTACATGATGATTGTTCCACTGAAGTACTTATTCGCCAAACTACTATCTTGCAGCTCTAATATTTTACTCTGTCTCTACTGTGCTTGTTTCGTTTAATTTAATTATATAAGGTCCAGTCCTACTACTGATGAAGTCAATGAGATTATTCATTGACCTAGCTTTATATTTTTTTAAAACAAACCTCCAGAACAAATTGTGGAAATATGTGGGCCATTTGACTGTCATAGAAATTAGCTCACATGGACTTTTCAAAAAGCATGCATTTATAAACTTGGCAGAAAGATGTTCCATGAGATAAATCATGAGTCAACTAACTCTTAAGCAAAGATTTACAGAGAGGTAACCATATCAGTAGCCTTGGTTCCTATGAAAACCATGCAACATTTTGGAGGAATGAACAAATCAATTCTTGCAGAAGATTTCATCAGCTACAGTCCATATTATGAGATGCATGAAGAACTACCTGAATTATGGATATGTGCTTGTATATGTGTAAGTATAGAACAGGTATGCATACAGATGTATGCACATACTAAGGTAGCAACGAATGGGGAATTGTAAATTTTACTTTGTTTGAAAAGGTGCTCTTTCTCCTGATTTTGGAGGTGGGTGACACTACATTCTCCTCCTTTGGGGTGTGTTCAATGAACTCTACCCAGCCACAAGGACCAGTGATCATTGCACAAAAAAGACCAGCTAACGACACCCATCAATCACAGTGACAGATAATCTCTCTCTCCCCTTATCACAACAAAAACACGCTGATCACCCTATCTCCTGAAAAGGACAAAAGCTGTTCCCACAGCTATAAATAGTCAACTATCCAACAAACAGCAACAGAGCATGGACAGAGTTCCTACTCCAGTCCTCTGAAGATGCCGGCCACAGAGACTGGTGAAATGTCAGGAAGAACAACCCTCAGAACACAGCCAAAAAACCCGAAAAACCCACAACAACCATCAGATCCCAGCTGCGAAAGCCTTCGAGAATACAAAGTTACAGCTACTTTGCATTTTTATAATATGAAAGATTCATTAGTTTTTTAAATCATTGAGAAATGAGAGCAAGCAAGAAAAAAGCCCATTCCCCACCTGCCTAAATTCTTTGATTTTTACAGCAGCTTCCGTGGCTTTATGTTCTAACCTCAGTCACAATCAAAGATTGCTACCCTGTGCATATGCGTGCCGATAGAACATGCTTTTGTCGGCATGTCTAGCAATGGAATATGATTGTTTCTCCAACCACTTTTAGGCATGAAATAACTCTCATCAGAGTCTACGTTATGTGAATACATTTGCCAAAGAAGATCAATGATTGATCATTTTATTTGGTATCACTATACTGTTGTTTATAGCTATCAGGAACATTGTATAATCCACCACATTCGATTTTTCAAAAATTCCATCACTCCTTTCAGATCTGTCATTGTTTAAAAAAATATACAAGTGTGCCTCCTTTGATCTGGTGGGAAAGATTTTGCATGTGCTGAATGTAACATGCTCTTTGAAGCATCTATTAGATCTCAACAGGTACAGAGAGCTGTATTGTAATACTCTGTTTAGAAATACAGTTGAATAAGTTGATGTGATAAACGGTCCCATCGCGTGAATGTAAATCACCTATGTTGCTTTTGAAATATCACTGAATACAAAACCTGTGTAGAGAGTCTGATCTTGTGATGACTACAAACCGCATATCAAGTGAAGGAAGCCACCCGGCTCTTCAGCAGCAGATTCCTTGGCTATTATACTAGGGAACGTGGGCTCATCTACCAGGCCCCTGAAGTAATGGGGCATGGTGGATATGCCATCGCTCTACCCTTACCAATGCACTGAGGGTGATCTTAAGGTAGAACAAGAAATCAGAGAGGCAGCCAAAGGAGAAAATATTGTAAGGGAGTCGTGTCAATTACTTCCATGGTTCAGCAGCACCTCTTTTCCGCAGGTGGGTATCTGTAGGCCCCTCCCCTTTCCTCTCAAATCATTCTTCTCTCTTGGGCCCCTGGCTTTTAAATGAGAGCAAACATACATGGTCGTGGGAGGGGAAGCCTAAGTGGCAAACTTTCTACTGAAAAAAAAAACCAACTTAAAGCAAACTTTGGAACTTCCACTGGTTGCCTTTTTATTTTGGCAAAAAAAAATTTTTTTACTTGAGAGATTTAACAATACATCAAGGTAACAACCCTGCTCTACAAAATGCAGAGTACAGATATTTTCCGTACAGATCACTTAGCTGTTTTACATTTGGCATCAAGTTGAAACCTGCCTGTACCTCCATGCAACTGAGGTCCAGTTTTCATAGCATGGCTTCAGTCTTTTGGACTGTAGTTTTGATCATCCTCGATGGCTTTATATTGTTTTTAATAATTTAATTGTTGAACACTATTTTAATTTTCTTATTGATTATCACCCATTATGGTTAGATAGATAGATTGGGAGATCCATCCACCAATCCATCAATCACTAGATCTTCTTTCAGAGTAGAGCTGGGAATCATGTGGGCCTCATGGGAACCCAAAGCCAGAGTGATACCTCCACTACCCTGCCCTTTACAAGAAAAGGGAGTCTACACCTGTAGACAATT